CTTGGCTCCAGTTTGATATAATGTGTGTGGTCACATCTCTTCCAAAAGGCTAAGGGAAGCTATTCTTGTAACTCAAGCTTCTGGTGGCCATTTTTATTCAATTTTTAAAAACATAAATATATAAGTATAAAATCTAAGGTTAAAAGGGACCAGTGACATGGTTATATCTAGTAGTTGAACACTTTCCACAATTTATAAATTTGATGAAAAATGTCAGTATATGCATCTTCATATGATTTTTGTATTTCTCGTTTCTTAGAACATATTTAAATTATGATAGGCATACTACATTTTATTGTTCTTTGTTTTATTGCACTTCACACATATTGCATTTTAATCAACATTGAAGCAAAACTCTCCACCAGCACAAAGATTATAATTTTCTGAAGGCTCAGATAATGGTTAGCATTTTTTAGCTATAACATTTTCATTAAGGTATGTACATTGCTTCATTTTAGACATAACGTTATAACACTTAAACTACAGTTTCCCATTGCATATAACTCTTATATAGTTCATCTTTTATTTGTTAATTTGATTCCCACCTAAATTTTCAAAAGTGTTTAAAATGGCTTACATGTGTTTAAAATATAAATTAGAAGTTAGAATGAAAACAAACAGAATAACAAAAATGAAATCCAGAGTAAGCTTATTAAAAAATGATCAACTATATAACTCTTACTAGAAGCCCAGTGCATGAAATTCGTGCACTCAGGGGGGCGGTCCCTCAGCCCAGCTTGCAAGAGGGTGCAGACCAGGCCAAGGGACCCCACCAGTGCATTATCGAGGCTGGGGGGGACATGGGATGTTGGCCAGCCGGGGAAGGACTGTGGGAGGGCTCCAGGGCGTGTTCGGCCTGTCTCGCTCAGTCCTGATAGGCTGGACCCCAGCAACAAGCTAACCTACTGGTTGGAGTATCTGCCCCCTGGTGGTCAGTGCATGTCATAGCAACTGGTCGACCAGTCGACTGTTTGCCCCCTGGTGGTTAGTGCACGTCATAGCAAGCAGTTAAGCAGCCTTAGCATATCATTAGCATATTAAGCTTTGGATGGGTTGAATGGCCAACCAGATGACTGGACACTTAGCATATTAGGCTTTTATTATATAGGATATGCAATGGGAAACAAAAAAAAAACTGTGTGACTTGCACTTGCATTACTTCAATGTGACCTTTATTGCAAGAGTCTGGAAATAAACCTGCAATACCTTTGAGGTATGCCTTTATACTTGAGAAAGGCAAAAGAAGTGTGTTGTCATTGAACAAGATTTTACTTACTATCTTATATGATCTGTAATGCTTACTTTGACCCTTTTATCCAAGTTAATTTAGTCTGATGACCCTTAGCCTGAAGAAAGACTTACATTTCAGGAGTGGAATATTCAGGAGATTTCATTCGTGTCCCCTCTTTAAGCTGACGACAGAATTCTTCATCTATTTGCACTCCTGGGTATGGTGAGGCACCTGGGACATAAGAAAAAACATATATCTTATTCATTCCCATGAAATAAGTAACCCATCAAAATCTTAAAAGGCAGAAACCTAAAAAGGATTCTAAGGAGGGCAAACAGCTCCAGATCTACATAGCTATGTAACATTAGACTTCCGTCGAACTTGACAGTTTAGAGACTGGCATACATGATTATTCCAGAAACCACACATATAAATTGCTTTGAGATTAGGATAAAGGTTTTTAAAATCTACTGATAAATTTCCATTGAGTTGGCCATATTTTCATGCTTTTAAATGATATATTCAGGCATTATCCTGTTATTTGCTTGAATGTAACCCACCTTTCAATATAAGATGGGTGATATTTTTTAATCCAAAAATATCTGTTTTTGCAGTTTCTGAATGCCCTTTTTATACTATACTTTAACCTCTGACATTCTAACGTAGTCCAGGCCTCAAGAAAAACAAGGGAGCATATTTCCAGCCAGTGTGGATATCTGTCTCCAACTTGGGAACTGTAGTCTTGTGGCATCCAGACCCAAAAGAAAAATAAGGCCTGAGGATAAATTCCATGTTGATAAATTGGAAAATTAATCACAAAAATGTCTTATGGTAAAGAAAAAACACATTTCCCAAGTTTGAATCACAGTTTAAAGTAGATTAAGAGATTACAAAATATCAAACCTCAGGTCTCTTTAAACATCTATATCTGTGCATGGGTAGGCTACATTTCCAAAGTCATGATTCTTATTTTTGCTTTATGTTTAATAGTTATTAAAACTCTAAAATACATTTTCTAGGACTTTGAGATTCAAGATGGTGTCAATATTGCTAAAAATTCATTTAAATAATTTTTGAGTATCTATAAGAAATTTTTAGTATAAGTAATTTGTACCCTACCTAAATTTCCAAAAGTGTTTAAAATGGCATACAGTTGTTTAAAATATAAATTAAAAGTTAGAATTAAAACAAACAAACAGAATAATAAAAATGAAATCCAGAGTAAGGTTAGTAAAAAATGATGAACTATCAAAATGTATAATTTGCTGTTAGGAAAACGGCACAACCTTACTTTCAATTTTCTAGTTTTCTGGAAGTTAGTTAAACAATAGAAACCTGATCTGTTACGTAACTCAAGGTAACTTGTAAGACACTATTAATTTTAGTTACTCTTCCTTGGTATCTGGTGATGCATTATTGCTCACTGTAATTCTCCTTCCAGATTTGGTGACTATTTTGTTGATGTAATATTTTAGGTCTCATAAACTTAACAATGTGTCATCTAACCTGTGAATCATGATCCTCCCAGATGAATGGAGGTATAGCAAACGATCTACATATCACTGGGGGCCATCAGTCATTATCTGTATCCTGAATACTTAATGTCTCATATAGAGTGATAAAAATGTTTATAAAGCATAGAAACAATGATGTAATTTACAAAGTTCAAATTATTTTCAGAAGTTCCTCAATTCAGACTAGCTTTTAGTTATGTGTACTTCCTCAACAAATTCATACTAAAAGTATAATCATAAAAATGCAATTCCTTTCCATAGTTTCACACTCTTGGTGGATAGAAGACCAAAATAATACAAAACATGGTATCCAGGGTAAATTTGTTGAACTCTCATGAATTTATTAAGGCAAAACATGACTTTCAACTTGTGATTTCATCTGTAAAGTTAGAAAGATTTGCTAGGTTGAGGGAAACAAACAAATTTCTGTTTAAGATATGTATCCTGACTAATTTAGAAGTTAGAAAAACTTCCTTTGGATGTTATTTCATAAGAATCTATTGTGCCTACTGCCCTAGGGAAAAAAAGGAATATAGCTATCAGTACCCAGCACAGCTCAATGGGATTGAGAAATGGCACACAATCCTGAGTTTTCTTATTCAGGAGATAGGGAGGAACGTGGGGTTCTACCAAATGTCATAGCATATGAGTTCACTGCCCTAGGGGAAAGAGTTGGGTAATTTGCAGCGTCAAGCATGGCTCTAAAATATTGGGAGAAGGCACAAAATCCTGAGGCTTTTTTCACAAGAGGGAGTGAGAGGACAGAAATGTGCACATACATAAAAAAGAATGAGAGATTGCCAAAGATAGTCTTTAAAGAATGGAAACAGTGTCTATTTTATTAAGAGTGCAGATACTGATACAAAGCTACAAGAAACACAAGGAATCAGGGAAATATGACACTACCAAAGGGACAAAATAAATCTCCAGAAACTGACCCTAAAAATGAAGATCTATAAATTGCCTGAAAAATAATTCAAAATAATGATCTTACAGAAGAACACAGAAAGTTAACTAAATAAAACCAGAAAAACAATACATAAACAAAATGAAACTATGCTATGGGGAGAGAACATGCGAGAACAGGCAAACCAACAGGCAACCATGTAGGCCTGGCATCCATGTAGGCTCAAGCATGACTCCAAGCCCGGTCCTAGGTCCCCAAGTGCAATCCCAGTGGAGCACAGTCAGGAACAGAAACTAAGCTAACCAGATATGAGTAGAGACTATGCTGGACTACCAGAGCCAAGGGTGATAGTGCTACAATTCTGGATCCTGACCCTCCTGGTGGGCACTTATTCTCACTAGGCCCTGGACTTATTCCATTCACCAATGTAAGATTACAAGGACAAGACCGAGCTAACACCCCTGGTAATGGATGAGACCATCAGGCACCTGAAGACAGTTCTTGGTTTTTACTTCAATACATCTTACCACTATACCTCAGAGAGAGAGAGGGGGGGGGGAAGAGAGAGAGAGAGAGAGAGAGAGAGAGAGAAACTATTAACAAAAACATAGAAACCATTCATGACTTTAAAAAACTACTTAACTGTGGGAAGCCACCACTTGCCAATACTGTCATGAGTGTGCACCAAGGAACACGGGAGGCCAATGGACCTTAAGCATTAGCAGGGCTGATGCTAAGCACTGATTGTTCGAGTTGAGATAGTGGTGGCTCAAAGCAATTTCCTGACCTGATAGCCTCCAAGTAAATGTTTACTGGACCTTAGTGATCTTTACTGATCTTTATTGACCTTAGAGACGGTCTGTCTGCTACCTGTTTGTCGTGCTTTACTGAAGGCAAGATGTGTATCTAAAACCGAATAAAAGCAGACAGGGCCCAATTTCAGTGTGTCTCTTCAAGAAAGAGGTTCCACCTGGCCCCCAAGACCTTGTAAATTCATATTTCTTGTATAGTATTTTCATTTGTGCACCGGCCCCTCTTTCAGATCCTGAACCCCACTGCGAAGGACATGGCACTTAACAAATTAGGTTTAGAAAGAACATACCTCAACATAATAAAGACCATATATGACAAACTAACAGCTAACATTATACTCAATGGTGAAAAGTTGAAAGCTTTCCTACTAATATCAGGAACAAAATAAGACTGCCTTCTTTCACCACTTTTATTCAACATAGTATCAGAAATCCTAGCCACAGAAATTACACAAGAACAAAAAGGCACCCAAATTAGAAAGGAAGTAGTAAAACTCTCACAATTTACAGATGATATGAAACTATATAAAAATCCTAGACACTAGACCAAAAAACTAATAGAACTAACACATGAATTCAGCAAAGTTGCAAATACAAAGTTAATGTTCAAATATATGTTGCAATTCTACACACTAACACTGAGCTATCATAATGAGAAATTAAGAAAACTATATCATTTATAATTATATACAAAGAATTAAATACCTAGGTATAAATTTAAGCAAGGAGATGATAGACCTGTACTGTAAAAACTAAAAGAAATTGAAGAGGACAGATATAAATGGAAAGATATATTGTGCTCATGGATTTGAGAATGAGTATTGTTAAAATTTCCATACTCCCCAAAGAAATCTATAGAGTCAACACAATATCTATCACAATGCCAATGAATTACTTGTCAGAAATAGAAGAAATAATGCTAAATTTTTATGGAACCACAAAAGTCACCAAATATCCAAAGTAATCTTGAGAACGAAGAACAAAGCTTAAGGCATCACAGTACCTAATTACAAACTATACTGAAAATATATAATAACTAGAGGCCCGGTGCACAAAAATTTGTGAACTCGGGGGGCTGGGGGAGGGGGGTCCCCCAGCCCGGCCTGTGCCCTCTCGCAGTCTGGGACCCCTCGGGAGATAACGACCTGCTGGCTTAGGCCTGCTCCCGGGTGGCAGAGGGCAGGCCCAATCCCTAAGTGCAGCCCCTGGTCAGGCTCAGAGCAGGGCCGATTGGGGAGTTGGGGCGCCGCCCCATCATGCACAGAGCAGGGCGGATCAGGAGGTTG